TTTATAAAAACCATTATTTATATAGTAGCCTCTTCTACTTTCTCCAATAAGTTTTCTGTTTTTGTTGGTGTGAAATTTGGTACAAGTGATTGTCAGGGAGAGTTGTTTGCATCAGGTAGTGGTTTTTCAACTTTTGATAATTCATTTAACTACTTTAGAAATCAGGAATAATTTCCAGACCTTGTTATGTGATTATCAATATTAATAACTATCTTTAATTAAGCAACTGAATATTTTATAGCTGAGGCAACAAGATGAATTTCTGATATATATCTTCTATGTTAGGCTCTATATATAGAATTAATTACAATAGCAATTTTGAACAGTTTTTCTGAACGTAAAGTGTCAGTATCTTGATTGTTCTAAATTAATGTCTTAATAAATTTACAACAACTTTATTTTAACCATTGAACCATTCATAAGGGTTATATGCTATAAGACTCTTTAAAGAAAACCTATTACTATTTTGGATTAATAAATCTATATCATTAAATAATTGCATGTATTCTGTTTTTGCTATTTTAATAATTGTGTTAATATATTTTTCTTGAATAGCAAACCTCAAATTCCACTGCTCAACTAGAACTTAATTGTTTTCATATTGCTTTTTATACGAATTCCTCATTACAATCATATTATCACAAACTTTTTCTAGCTGCTTCTTTAACTCCTCTATCTCTTTCTTTAACATTCACTCAATCTGATTAATAAGGTCTATTACTAATTGTAATTTCTACTAATTTTCTAGTTAAGTAATTTCTAAGAGCTTTTTAATTCTATCAAATTCAGTTACTAAATCATCTTTGCTAGTGTTGAGCCAGAGTCTTTTACTTTTTTAATCTACAAGATATTCATAAAACTGGTTAGTAGTAATGATCTAATTATAATGCTTCTCATAAACTGAATGAGTTTCTAAAACAATATTCTTAAGTTTAAAAAATAATTATGATATTGATCAAGTTACTTAGCTACTTTTTGACTACTTGCATGTCACTATTTTTGTGTATCTTTTGTTTTACAAGACTTTAATCTAATAACTTGGTATTTTTTAATAATGTTTGTGAAAATGCATAGAAGATCTCTTGATTTTGGTTTCAAGTAAGTAAACACTATAAAAAGATTGTTTAAAAAACTACTAAGTTAATAAAATTACATTTTTTAATTTAAAATATATAAGACAAAACTTAAATCTTAAGGTCTCATTTATTTTTTTATAGATAATTTACTAAAAGAGATTAACTAAGATTATCAAATCTATGAATGTTTTATTATTTTTTCTTATATTGTTTAATAGCAAATGAATATAAAGAATATTAAAAATTTTAAAAAAATTTGTATAAAAAAAAAGACTTTAGAGCCAATAAAATTTATGGATCTTCATACTGATCATTCTAGAATCCAAGTATCTAATTTGGTAATATCTCTGACTAAACTAAAGTCACTGTATATCCAATATTAAATAGGTCAATTTACTATCTTTATGTTTCTTTGCTAATTGATCAAAAACTAAAAAAAGCAACTGAATTTGACAAGTAGTTATGAGTAAAATGAAAGTTGATCTCTAATAGATAAGAAGTTATAAGTTTTGATTTCTCTAATTTAAAATCAAGTATAACTATACAATTTTTATTTATATAATGTATACTATTAGGATTTTTAATTTTATGAATTTTATTTTTTTGCTTTATAATATTATTATAACATGTTTTCTAAAAAATAACTTTGTATTTCTTAACTAAATAAGTTCAGGTCAGATGTATAATTGTTTTTAAAATTTCTTAAAATCATTTAACCAATCTACAGTATCTTCTTTTGTATTAATATTCATATATAAATTTATGCTGACCTGCGCAATATTTATATTTTCAACTGTAATTATTGTTTTATGTTTAATGTAATTTTCAATTTTATAATTATAATTTAGTGAAAAGATTTGTTAAAATGGGATCAATAAATCAAATAAATTTGATTTCTTTTTTTGCATTTTTTTATTTTTAATTTGAGAGGTTTTTTTTTATCTGAATGATGAGTACAAATAAAAATAACAAATAAAAATAAAATAATATAACAAAAAATAAGTGCAATATATGGAATCAGCTTTATATCATTATCATTATGCTATATTATACCAGTACAATCATGATTTTTGTATAATATTAAATGTGGTAAAAATGGTTTGTTCAACTTTTTTGATGTTGCTTATACTAATTTTTGCAAAATTCTTTTTTAGTAGGAGTAATGAATTTTGTTTATCTGTTTTTGGAAAGAGTTAAGATTTTTGCATACTATATGATGTAGTTACATATGCAGACACATATGTTATTATGATGCAAATTGATTTACTGATTAATATTAATTTCATTATAATGCAAAGCTACTGATTATTAATATTAATTTTCAAACAGTAACCATTACTGTTACTGGTTACTTAAATTTTTTTTTCTTTTTTATTGCATTTCTTTTTTTTTTAGGTTTTGTAGTTTTGGATTTTGATCTTTCCATCATTGGTGTTTGTTGTATTGTCATTAGTTGATACTTTTGTCTTGCTTTTGTCATTGATGTCATCCATTTTGGTATATCATTTGTCACTAGCATTGTTAGTCTGGTGTCTTTGTCTTTTTTTTCATTTGGTTAAATTCTTTATATAACAGTTTCAGATTTTAGTATTTCTCATCATTAATGTCATGTATCTTTTGCACTAGCATCATAGTTCAGTTTTTTTTTTTTGCTTCGTTTAGTTCTTGGTACTAACTTTTGTATTTCTTCTTTAAGTTCTTTAGGCTCATGATCTATCAATCAGAATTAATGATTTTTATACTGTTTGATTCATTTTGAAGAGATGAATCGAATTGATAGGTTATGAGTTGTTGCTATTTAAATGCTGTGAATGTAAGAGGATATTGTGACATGCTGATCTTATATTGTAGTAAGTTAATAATATTCTGTGAATCAAGAATCTAAATCAAACAATTTTTGTATCATTCGATTCACCTTTTCAAGGCGAATCGAATGACATAAAAATCGTTTGATTCAAATCATTGGATCACAAGTTATAATAAATTCGCCATGATAACTCCTTTACTTATATTTGTTGGTTTTTTTCCTGTTTCTTTAATTTACTCTGAAAGTAATGAGGTATTTAGTAATCTATTTTATCAAATGAATAGTCAGAATTTTACTCATCACAGTATGATCGTACTGGTTCTGCGCTGCGTCAAGCACTGCGCAGCTACCCTAATTAATATCATCAGGATTAATATTGTGAACCCGATTTTTTTGGTCACAGGTGACCGAATCGAAGTGACGATCCTGGCCCGATCCAAGGTCACACGGACGTGACGGAAATGTTACTTATGTTACTTAAGTCGCTTCTATGACTTCTCTACATATGAGTTAAATGAAATATTAGTGTTTTATTAGACTTAGTTAGGATTAGAATATAAGAAATCTAATGCGTTTATGAAAGAAATTAACTGTAAATGTAAACAAAACGTTTATTATAAATAAAGGGCATTTTTGCCTTGGGAGAAGAACAATTCCCGCATTCCTAACACAAATTCCTAATAACAAATTCCCTAACAACAAATAAATACCCGGCCCTTTATAAAAGTGAAGCTCTACCCTATACAAACTAATAAACCATCGTAAACCCCGTTATCACCCCTATCGTTCATTTAAATAAATCCCTAAACCCGCAAGTTGATCGCTCGCCGCAAGTCACGTGACAAGACTGTTAACGTTATAGAAGAGTTCCAACCCGATTCGACGAAGAGTAATCCCGGGTTGAGGCATAGAAGAAAAGATAAAGAGAAGACAAAGAGTTAGTAGAAGACTAGATTGCAGGAAAGACCTAGAGAGAAGAGTACTTACCTACGGATAAACCACCAGCCAAATCTAACACGCCTATTTCGACTTAGCCGCCGTAGGTTACGCGAGAGTTGAATTAATTTAGCGACAGACTCGCCGATTCCGGAATTACAATATATTAATGATCCGAAGTCATCACCCGGGCTATTACATTGACCTTCCGGAGCAAAACCTTGTACACATTTACGGTATGCATGCTTTTTTGATCAATAACCCGATCATGCATAAATTAGCTAATCAATCCTGATTAAATTAACAATACACGTGAACAGCCACTATACCGATAGTACTATATTACCCTACTCGCAATAACTTTTCATTTCAGTTTACTATTGGAGTTAAATTGGACGATAAATATGCTAGAACTCTCCAGTAACACTACTTTCGGACCAAATCAATCCACGCCTCAATCGAAGCATACCAAATACGGGTGTAAAGGAAGAGTTCTATTCGATTTCGTAGATCCTGAGATAAAGTTCCGTCAAATAGAGACCCTAGTCAAACTAGCTTTTGGTGCTATATGAATTTCTACAGGTTTACAACATGTAAAAACATATAAAATGTTAAATAGTTATGAAGCATACATCACCGATTTTAATAATTCAATTGAAATAGAATCAGTTAATAATGTTTTGCTAGAGTTTGATGAAATTGATTATTATTCTCTTAGTTACTAGGAACGATCTAAAATATATTTAAATAATGCTTTGGAAGTTTCTCCTGATGATAAATAACCTAGCTCGTCGTGCAAATGTATATCGCATATTGGAACGTCAAGAAGAGGCACTTGAAGACCTCAATGTTTTGTTAGAAACCGATTCATATGAAGTATTTGTTTTACGTATTCGTGACGAATGTTCATTTTGTCAACAATTGTTTATTTCTAAAAATCAGCATAAGTAACCATCTTTAGTGCTCTAAAAAAAGTTTTTTTTTCGTTAAGCAATTTTACTGTATAAACTACTTCCCTCTAATTCCTAAAACTGACCTTAACCTTAACATAAAGAATTTTTGCTACGCCAAGACCTTGGCACACATTCAAGTAATCAAAATTCTTGAACTCTTTCCATAACGATGAAGACTAACATTTATATTTAAATTAGAATTAACAAGATGGTGAATCGTTTGGGAAATTTTTTTAGTGGATAAATTTACAAAATAATTGGCTTTGACAAAACGAACGTTTGCTTTGAATTTTTTTGATTATATATGATCCTAAAATTTTATTTGTCCTTCAGAGATCTACGCCACTATCCATCACATGCCCAATAGTAAATACAATATCGATAGTTGATCGACAATGCACGTGATTAAATTAAGCAATCTAATTGGACAATCTTAAACAAAGAACTTACAGTTAAAAGATATACAAAATCGATCTTCATTGTACACATTTACTGTAGTATAGTGGATAGGGCGTCTACTACCATT